TGTATTTCACATGTTCGATTACTGGCACTGTATTTTTAATTTTTTGTCGTAATTATCACACTAACTTTTATACCCGTCAAAGACAATTGCTCCATTGTTCCAGCAAAGCGCATTCACTTTTGCACACTTGACCTGGTTTGGCATGATTGCAAAACGAAAAAGATTTTGTCTTACTGATTTGCTCGTTAGTAGATCAAAAATAAGTGTACTTAAGTGAACATGTGTGGCCACAAAACTGCGGAGCTCGTGGTCCAATGATTTATCGTGTTTCATAGCGTTTACCAAAGTAACACAGCTGTAATCATAGCAAAGACGTCAATCTGCATAAGTTTGCAGATCCAGCAGTTATAATGCTAGTGGTACCGTAATGGAATGTGTTTGCGTTGTGCAGCACAATTGAATGTGTGTTTCGTGACTTGTTCACAGGTCGTTGATTTTCAGAGGGCAGTTACCTTGTGAAAATGGGACAGCGGCTGTTTCATGTGTCCAGTTCCTTTGCCTCCATTTGTGTTCAGCACCTCAAAGGAAGTTCTCACCTGGCTAATTAACGCTTCGTCGAGAGACTTTCGGCGATAGCTGTCATAACGACACGACCCTTGCAGAGCACGTTTCAGATGGTCGGATACTTCTTCACAAACGCGTTTCTAGAAGTAAAATATGAAGACCGTTTTAGACATATGTGTATGTGCACTTTAGACACGATCAACATTTCGTGAGACAGCATATTTTGCGCATTAACCATCGTAAAGTCGTGTCGCCTATACTACCCCAAATTGAAGGGCAGTTTGAAGCAGGATGGGAACCTAGGAAATGTGTTATCCTGTGATTAAAAAGCAAAATTGTACCCCGGTTCAAATGAAGCAGCTTATCCATTATAGCTAAGGTAACAGTTACTGAATTCACTGAAATTCACTTCAGCGTTCATCAAGTCCGACAATGAGATTGCCTGTTGCAGTGCAGAGACGCAAGATATGCTTCAAATGCTGCAATAAGTGGACCTGTCCCCACATGGCATTTACACAGAAAACGGTGTACATTAGATTCTTACTAAGCGGATTATTCTTTACGAAAGCCAGTTCAATAATAAAACTGTTAACTGCAAGTATCCACTGCCGGGACTGAATTGTTTATATGTCGGTTGTAGAGTGACTCCTAGATTCACCGATTTATCATTCTCACTGTCTATCAGCAGGCTTAAGCTAGTCTGGAAAAGCACCAGACGCCGGTATTTCGACCTTTTGGGTTTCGTCAGTGATGCGTCCCTCATCGGACACCTGCCGGTTTCTGCCCCCATGACTTCAGGATGCCAGCAGCAGCTAGTGCCAATTCGCCATGGGTGACAGCCGCGGACCAGCTTGATTGACAGTTGACTCCTAGATTATCAGAGAGAACTCGGAGGCTAACTCAGAACCTTGATACTAATGTGTTACTCTCTTCAAAGCGATTTCACTGATTAATGGTTTGTACCAAAAAACTCATTTTTCTTGCTGACCTATGGTTCATTGTACAACAATCGTCTCGTTAATTTATCGGCGCATTTCGTAGGTGAATAATCAGCTCCATCACACCACCGTCCCCGGGATTTCATGCTTGTTTCTGGCCTTCTGTTTGGGAAGAGATAGACAATACATGGTGTTCATATGATGTGGATGTCACGATGTTCGGTCTGCGTACTGAGTAAGAGAAACTAGTTTGGAACACAACCGTGGGTCGCCTAAACTATTTGTCTTTCTCGGTGGCGGATTTGTCTCAAGTGATTGTGATAAATGAGAACTCGACAGTAAAGTAACTTGTTAGGACTGGATTGGATCGTCCATAACTACGAATTATGTGGTTTAGAGCTAGTTACAAAGATGTTTGCTGCCGATAGCTTTGCAGCATGATCAAACAGAACAGTTGTCATTTGGATAGAAGGAGGTGTGGTTTGAGCACTCCTCAACCTACGTGCAGTATAAAGAGTGAAGCGTCATATTCTAGTCACGTCAAACGTGTACTGTCAGGGTTGGATTCTATCTGGTGTCTGATGCATGGGTTTTTCAACATCCAACAAAGCGAAGCTCATAAGCTCTTGTATTATCATGGTACAGCACCTGTTTATGCAATGAACCCAGACCAATTATCTTTCTCAAATATGCTTCAGCCATTAAAATACGATCAATACTTCAGTATACCCCGTAAAAATGACCGAACCAAAACGTTCACTGTCCTCAGTTGGTATTACCAATCCAAACTAACATCCGCGTCAATGAGCTGTCTACTTGCTGAGTGCGCTACCTTAGGAACGGTTCTTCCCTGTTCATAAAAGCCAGCTGGAACAGAAACACTGCCAGTGTCTAGATCCTGCAATAACAACTAACTGGTAATTAAAAGTGTATACCCCAGTATCCAGGTTGCAGGTTGAAATGAAACACCTACATGGATTGGAGGCTATAGCAATCGTTGAAGCTACAAGAAAAGCTGATGTCACAGTGGTAAACAGGGCAGTAACTGGCCACTGATAGTTATGAGAGTACCTGATTTGCTTTCGCGGATATCTTTCTCCAACCAAATATTATGCCAACGGTTTGGCTACCCTGCATCTTTATAGCTGATCTCGGCCAGATATGTTAGAATTATCACGGAACTTCAAATGTCAATCAGGAAATATCATTGCACGCTTGCAATGTGATTACTCTATTTCCTAGTTTTTTCTTGGTTTTCCACAGGGTTATGACTTGATCGATTTTTAAGACTTCTATCATATGAGCAACGGTCGGACGTACACGTATGTTTTCCTCAATTGACTTTGCAATACTCACAAGCAGCTTTTACTGCATGACGCAAAGTGGAATGCTTCCGACTTCGCTTTGATTATGGGTTTCCGTGAATTCAACGACAAAGTTCTCGTATGGATAAGTTGGGAGAAATGGTATCAGAAGCTTCATCTAGCGCATACTCTATCCATTTAAATGACTTCCTTTAGCTCCTGTGCACTAAGTTATATTAATGGTCTAACATAAAATTATGGTTAAGTCTTCAGTGAATCGCCAACCGAGTATACAAATCATTCGATACGGTTCATTGCAGTCCCCAGTGACACACAAATTCGGACCTCTTGAGAAGACTATCCTGGGATTCACATTCACTGTGTTGGTTAGATTAGTCTTTGGAGCAAATTAAACACCATTGTAATTTTGTCTGCATTTGGACCAGAGTAAGTCTTACTTTCTTCATCGCCGGGGTTTTACGGTATACAGTTCGAATTAAATTTGTATCTACTCCCACTTGTGGTGGTGGTGGTGTGGAGATCCGAGCCAATTACCAATCTGTCACCGAAGGAGAACAAGCTTTCTCTATGTGGATGGATAAATTTGCACAATTTGTCAACAAGTCACCGACTGACAGATACCAATATTGTATGGAGTAGGCTTATTAGCTGTAGCCGACTAGACTTTCAGTACATACCATTGAACTGTGGTCATTCGCCCAAGTGCGAAGAAGAACCACTTCTAACCACTCTGTTCACACGAGTGGAGATGTGTGACGCATCGCGTGCTCGTGAAATGTGTCTTGATGTAATTGCCACGAAATTTCTGACGAACGTTTCAGTTGTGTTGTTAAGTCGTATTAGTAATAACTGTAGGTGTACCACTGCGAATATAAAAATAACTGGATAAGCTGCGGGAAAGCAGTAGTGTAAACGGTCAGCAACTCACATGTGAGCGCGACTTTAGCCTGACTACCCATATGATCATTTCCCCAATCCACACAATGAGTCCCATGAGTAGCCCTCCTCCAAGTCCAATGAATGCGCTGGACATCTTGGCCATAGTCAACTTGCTTCGGGACGGTATAGCTGACTGGGAACTCTGTAGGTAGCATGGGACAGTGGCATTATAGCGTTGTAACCAGTATTGGCGCATCTTTTCCAGTATTTGATCCTTTTGTAATTTCAATATGCTTTCAGAAAGTAGCTCGCGAAATCCGTTATCTACACTCAGAGCAAATAAAGATATGGTTAGTACTACGAAAGACGAATAGAAGCCAGTGTATGTATACCGGCATTTCACACACAAACAAATTTTCCTCTAGATAATCTAATATTCTAGTAACTTAGAAGTTTGACTGTTAATTAGATCTGAATGTCTGGCATCTCGAACCCGAAGTGTGGCTGCGGGAGTACCAGCTGCCATTTATTACCATCCCAGCGGGCTACTGAAGAGCAGTGTAAAATACGTGTGTACCACGTTATTCGCTTTCGCTTAAGGAGAGGGTCTAAGCTCAAAAATCTGAAAAATCGTAATTTTTGACCATTTTGGAAAATCTTACAAATGTCAACTGCAGTCTTCTTAGAAGATAAATCTGCGACCCATTTTTTTGTTAGCATCTTTTGTAATGCAGTATTTCAGCATTTTTTGAAGCATTTGTGACTTGTTTTTCTATGTAGTCAAGCTCATTATATACGCGTGAATTTTAAAATGTTGCATCTCGGCTTGTAGACGTCCTAGAAACTTCATTCAAGTTGCATTCGATTCGGCTTTGCAAAGCCTATCTGGTAATTCCGCATTACCATGCAGTTTAAAAGAACCATTTTCATTGGTTCTTAAAGTGAGAGAAGAGCCATTTGCACCAATCAGCGAGCTCGTCTAATCGGTTGCTAGTAAGCCGCCATCTTGGATTTTTCAAAACACAGCACTCGCGTATGTGACGATTTTGTGAGCACATCTTCGCTAATTATGGGAAAACGAAAAGAAAAAGTAGCTTATACATAAAGGAAACGTAGATTTTGTGGCAATCGCAACTCTAAGAAGCAAGAACAAGCTGATGGAAGTGATGACAATAATGATATTGTGCCAGAAACACAAGATAAGTTTGATGTAAATAAACCTTCGACATCTGCTTCTAGCACCAAACTTGGATATCCAAATTTACAGTGTGAGTTTGATACAAATGGGGGGCTTACAAGTTTGCGATTTATTGATGTTAAACTTCTTGTTAACTTTGTAGTTTGTTGGGCCCACAGTGTAGATAGCCTCTGGACAAGAACGAATCTTATGTGACTGAAAACATGAGCTCACTGGCCTCAAAGTTCACTTTCCACTGTCAGTGTCAGCATGAAGTACCATTTATGTCCTCTGCAAAATGTGGGAAGACTTATGAAGTCAATGGAAGGTATCCAGTTGCTCTCTTTGCCATAGGAAGGAATTATAAACATGGCAAGAAATTTCTTGGAAATATGAACATGCCTTCAAATATGCATAAAAGCAGTTGGTCTCTTCATAAGAAAAAGATTCTTCATGCTACACAGGCCACTGCCATAGAAAGCATGCAAAGAGCTGCAGTTGAGATGAAGGAAAAGAAAGGAGAAAATATAACAGTCTCTTATGATGGCACTTGGCAGAGAAGGGGGTTCCAGAGCAAAAATGGCGTGGTCACAGTTTTCACAGTAGATGGCCATAACTCGAAAGTTCTCGACACCTCAGTTTTGTCAAACTATTTCAACACTTGTGCAAAAAACCAGAGGAATAAAACTGAGACCGAGTTTTAGGCATGGAAGTGTTCACATGGACAAGACTGCGACAAGAATCATAGTGGGTCAGCAGGCAGCATGGAGCCAGCTGGAGCACTAGCAATATTCCGCCGAAGTGAGCAATTAGATGGACTGCACTATGTTTCTTTTCTTGGAGAGGATGACAGTAAATCTTATGTATCCGTATCAAATGCAGAACCACTTGTGTATAATGATGTGAACATTTCCAAACTTGAATGTTGTGGGCACGTGCAGAAGAGTATGTGGCGACACCTGACCAATAAGGTACCTAAGCTGCAAAAGAGACCTTTATACACAATGGCAAGAGTTTGCAAGGAATCGGTGGGCGAGGTTGTCTGAAAAAGAAGGCAACGTTGAACATTCAAGGACATTGTGGGCCTGCAATAAGAAGAAATACTAATAATGCGCCTCAGATGCAAAAAGATATACGGGCCATATGGGAGCACCGCAACCGTGATCACACTAACTGTGGAGACTGGTGTCCTTCCAAGAAGCAGCCAGCTGAAGACTCTGACAGGAATGCTCTCCCTTCTTATGTGTGCAAGACTATCAGGCCTGCTTTTGAAACTCTTGCCAGTGAGGCATTACTGTCAAAGTGTGCCCATGGAGGAACACAAAACACAAATGAAACTTTTCACCATCTAAATTGGCAAAGGTGTCCAAAGGCTGGTTTTGTTGGAAGGCAAAGGCTTACTTTTGCAGTTGCTGATGCTGCAGTGGTTTTCAATGATGGAGAGAGGGGTAGGCTGCCTATAGATGAGAAGTTGGGGATGTCTACTGGATTGTATACCAGACTGGGTTGGAATGAACGAGACAGAACAAGAATTCATGCAGCAGCTGCCGGACTTCTGCCAGCTAAACAACGAGCACGGAAAGTAGCGGCTTCAAGGGAGTGTGAAGACATCGAAGCTTTCTATCTTGCTGGTGCCCATGAGTAGTCCAGATTAGTTTTTCCACGTAAATCATATCATGGGACATCACCAAAATTGTATAAACTACCGATTTGCCAGAAAAGTTTAAATGAATTTCATTTTTTCATGTACTTCAACTTTAAAGCCATTTTTTTAAAAACTGCGTTTTGTCACTCTTACGTCAACATTCTGAAGATAATTTCAAAAGTAATGGTCCAAAGTCAATAAAATTTGGAGGAGATGCTCTTCTTTAGTTTCTGTATGGAATAAACTACTTTAGTTCTACACTTGTGAGCAACTTTCAATCTCAATTCCGATTTTTATGCAAATCTGAACCTCAGTATTGGAAGATCTAATTCAGATACAGAGTTAAGTATAGTTTATTCTAAAGCTGAACTATATCTAAATAACTACACAAAAGTTTAGCTCTATACATGGAATACTTTTTTGATGGGACCCAGAACGCCACAACAACCAATTCGGCATCACTAATTTAGATACCTTACTAAAATGTGAATAAAAAATAATAAACACACTTATCTTTATTTCTCTATCATATATTATTTGCATGATAAATAATGATATTCCCTGCAAAAGTTCATGTAGATCTGACTCTATCTAGACATATATATCGAGCTTTGAAAAACACATAATTTTTGACTTTTTCAGCTTAGGCCGTCCCCTTAAGACAGTACATTTCAGTATCATTCCAATGACCTTGAATGGTTGCTGTAAAGATTGTTCACGCATTGAACCATACCTCCAAAAGACCCGTATGCTTTCACTGCATTACCTCCCACGATAGCTTGTTTGTCTTCTTACCTGCTCAACTGTCTGTACCTATGTGGTCTTTGTCTAGTGGTACACCACTCCTTTCGTGTTCATCCCCTCCCCACCCCTTTTGTTATTCGACCTCATTTAATGTTGTGTGGATTGTAACAAATGCGTCATGCAATTGTCTCCACGGCATTATCACATTTCCTGAGAAACAGGTATGAGGTCATCACACACTGTGAGTGCGCGGTCAATGCTTGGTTATCGCGAGTTTAATAGTAGCTGTTTAGTTCGAAAAATGGTTTCAAATAACCCATTCTTTCCCAATCCAGGGTGAGTGTACTCCCTCATCGAGGTTGATATACCGAGATCCTGAATGATTGCGGTTTGTAAAATTGTCCTAACTACATATCGCCAAATAGTACCGTATTTGAGTTCCACCTGGTTTGCAAACAATTGATCGGGGTTTTTGTTTGGCAACCTTTTGCTTTTAACACAACAGCTTCGTCAAATACAAACGTTACCAAACAAATGCGCCGCCCGCTTGTTTCTTGCTCTCCGTGAAATCGCGAATTCTCACTCGTTTCCCAGAACCTTCTAGGATTTCGAGTATCACAGTTATTGCCATCTAAATTTGGTCTGTTTTCGAGATCATTGAGCAAGCTTACCTTAAGATTCGGCGTGCGAACGTCACAACCGTAGAATCCTAGACGTTTGCGAAGATAAATTTTCCGTTTCTGGCTTCCCTACTTCAATTAGAATAGTAAGACATGGAGAATTAACTGGAACACTTTGTTGTTGAAATACGAAGGCATGGTTACATGGTGTAGTTTGGGACCGGGATGCATCAATAGCTTAACAGACCGCTGTACGGAGTGGTCAAGCGGTAAAATACGAACAGGCCGCCGATAAAAGATTGCACGGTAGCAAATGAAATAAGGTAAGACTTACGAATCATACTTACTGCTACAAATTCTCCGAATACTGAGTCCACAAACTACACTGCGAGGGACTATATCCCTGACTCAGTTATACCCAATAGTTTGGCGGTTAGTTTTCTGACCACGGCCTAGAATTAAGCCTTGATCAGCCGCTTACGTAAGCAATCTGCTATCACATCAGTTGAGTCGGCATTCACATCTGTATATGCTTACAACGTGATAGACATAGATCGGTGGTTACCAAGAACTCATAATCACACAAACCTATAACCTTCCTCAAATAAGTGACTCCAATGGATGTAATGTATATCCGTTTCACACTTGCACGTCGTTTTAAACGAGCGCCGCTTCACTTGCTCGCTTCTGCTAATCTGAATTACTTCAACTCCCTTGGCTCGTTTAACAGACTCTATGGACTTACGTCACTCCAGCCGACACAAAACTCACTCTATAAACGGTTAGTAAGAGTTAACTCTTCTTGTCTCTCACGGCCTAGCTTTCTTAACGTCATTGCAACCATAAGTAGGTAGAGCACTATTAACTTTGCTAGTACAGTACTTTGAAGTTAGCTCTTTAGTGCGTGAAAATCCTACGACCGAAGACAACACACGTAGGTTACGTCAGTCCATAAATACTGTTAACCAACGGGATGTACCAGGAAACATCACTATGAGTAATTTGCATGTGAAAATACCTAAAACGTGTTTGTCTGGTGAGTTCAAAATTATGTCTAGCAAACTGATTTTGGATGACTAGTGTAAAGTTTACATGCCGTCATTAGCAAGACAACTGCATCTAATTGGAGTACGCTAAC